AGCAGAATTCAAAGGAAATAATGACGATGAAAATAATTCAACGTGGTTTAAGATGTAAAAAAAAAAAATCTACAAAGTTCTAAAGAATCTCTCTTCCAGATGTTGTATACAGTCGGACCGGTCATCCTGCAGGGAACCAGCAGATTATCAACGTCTACTGACGTTTCAGTGTGAACGGCCCAACGGGGCCACGTTCCTCAAGTTACTGGTTTTTAAAGATGTTTAAAACGAGCAGGAAACGTGACTTCATGACGGAACTAGTTCGACTTAATAGAAAATGTTTTTCCTTTGAGATCTTTAAAAAAAAAAAAAAAATCTGAACTGAAGGTAACCTGCAGATTATTTATGTATATGTGGAACACATATACACTCGTTCATATGAAATATGAATTTCAAATGTTTTACGATAATAAACTGTTAGTTATAATAAAGATACAGAAATGTTTTGATTCAGTTTGTGGTTCTCCATATTACTGAAGTGTTTAATTACTGAAGTGTTTAACAGCTCAGACGTCTTTCATCCTCTCAGCTCAATTAAGTCAAGACAAAACTTATTGGTTATTAAAATTAATATGACCTCAGATAAATGACACTGTTCAATGAAAATGTTCGGCTCCCTTGCGAGACATCTGTGACCTCACAGGTTTGAATAAAGAATTAACCAGAAAATGGTTTCTGTAAAGCAACCAGAACACGTTTGTTTCTAGGAAACATAAACTTGGAAAGTTTCATAGTCTCTGGTTTTCAGTTCAGCAATTTGTGGGTTTAGTTCCTGACATTTAGGTCGCTGGTTCAAATCCTGGCTCCGGGGGCCTTTCTGGATATGAATGTTCTCTGTGCATGCATGGATTTTCTCTGGTTTCCTCCCACAGACCAAAAACATGCATGTTAGATTGATAAAGAAGTGTCCAAGTGTCCCCACCTCTCGCAGTGATGGCTGGATATGGGCACCAGTGACCCCGAAAGAAAGCAGCAGCTGGACGTCCTTAAACACCTGGAATCGCTTTCTCTAGATATTCAGGTTGAGCTCATCAGCTTTAGTTCATTTGACTGAACAGGAAAAAAAAATCATGTTTTATTGTTGGATTCAGACATTAATTAATCCACCGTCTTTCTGCAGCTTTTAAAACCAGAAGAAATGTTAAAAAAAAAAAAAGTATCTGGCATTAGTCCAGTTAGTTATTAGCTCGTCTGGTTTTATTTTACCTGAACTGGTTCAAAGTTTTGGTCTGAAGGCTGTTCAACTTTCATTACCTGGTAAAATAAAATTACATGATGCACATTTTAGTAAATTTTAATTTGATGTCTGTAATCTAAACAAATCCTGGGACTTTAGACCTTATGATATAAACTGCAGCACAAACTGTCAGGATCTAAAGAAACAGGCAAAACTAGTAACTGTAAATTTAAACTTTATTAAGAGCAGCTGATTAATATTAAAACATTCAGGAAACTGAGCCACACCTCGGAACGCAGGACTGGGAATCTAAAAAAAAAATATTTTTTTTTTTAAATTGAGACTACAAAAAATAAATAATTTAAAAAAGGTAATAATCTCTTCAGTCTCCACGATGTCCGGAGCAGAGCCGCATGTCAGGCGAGACCAGCGTTAGGCTCGTACGAGGTGGTCCAAAACCAACCTGGTTCAGGTCCTGACCAGTTCTCGTCTCATCAGAAAACTGAAACAAAAAGAACAATTAAGGTTTTTAACTATTTGTTTGAAAATTAGATTTTTTTTCTACAAACCGGATTCCAAGTCCAAAAAAGTTGGGACACTAAACAAATTGTGAATAAAAACTGAATGCAATGATGTGGAGGTGCCAACATCTAATATTTTATTCAGAATAGAACACAAATCACAGATCAAAAGTTTAAACTGAGAGAATGTATCATTTTAAGGGAAAAATCTGTTGTTTCCAAATTTCATGGCGTCAACAAATCCCAAAAAAGTTGGGACAAGTCTATTTTTACCACTGTGTGGCATCCCCCCTTCTTCTTACAACACTCAGACATCTGGGGACAGAGGAGACCAGTTTCTCAAGTTTAGAAATAGGAATGCTCTCCCATTCATGTCTAATACAGGCCTCTAACTGTTCAATCATCTTGGGCCTTCTTTGTCGCACCTTCCTCTTTATGATGCGCCAAATGTTCTCTATAGGTGAAAGATCTGAACTGAAGTCTGGCCATTTCAGTACCCGGATCCTTCTCCTACGTAGCCATGATGTTGTGATTGCTGCAGAATGTAGTCTGACATTATCGTGTTGAAAAATGCAGGGTCTTCCCTGAAAGAGATGACGTGTAGATGGGAGCATTTGTTGTTCTAGAACCTGAACATATTTCTCTGCATTAATGGTGCCTTTCCAGACATGCAAGCTGCCCATGCCACAAGCGCTCATGCAACCCCATACAATCAGTGATGCAGGCTTCTTAACGGAGCGTTGATAACAACTTGGGCTATCCTTGTCCTCTCTGGTCCGGATGACATGGCGTCCCAGTGTTCCATAAAGAACTTCAAATCGTGACTCATCTGACCACAGAACAGTCTTCCATTTTGCCACACTCCATTTTAAATGACCCCTGGCTCAGTGCAAACGTCTGAGCTTGTGGAGCTTGCTTAGAAATGGCTTCCTCTTTGCACTGTAGAGTTTCAACTGGCAACGGCAGATGGCACGGTGGATTGTGTTCACTGACAGTGCTTTCTGGAAGTATTCCTGAGCCCATTCTGTTATTTCCTTGACAGTGGCATTCCTGTTTGAGGTGCAGTGACATTCAAGGGCCCGGAGATCACGAGCATCCAGTAGAGTTTTTACGGCCTCGACCCTTACGCACAGCGATTGTTCCAGATTCTCTGAATCTTTTGATGATGTTCTGCACGGTTTATAACGATAACTTAAGTCTTTGCTATTTTACGCTAGGTAACACCATTCTGGTATTGCTGCACTATCTTTGTGTGCAACAATGGTGGAATTGTTGATCCTCTTACCATCTTGGCTTCTGAGAGACACTGACACTCTGAGAAGCTCTTTTTATACCCAATCATGTTGTCAATTGACCCAATTAGTGTTAATTGGTCTTCCAGCTGTTCGTTATACAAGTCCTTCTAAAAAAATTAGCATATTGTGATAAAGGTCATTATTTTCCATAATGTAATGATAAAAATGAAACTTTCATATATTTCACATTCATTGCACACCAACTGAAATATTTCAGGTCTTTAATTGTTTTAA